CAGGATGTCACCTTTCCTTTGTTGGAAAATAATCTCTGTTAAAATGCAATCCAAACCTGCATTGATGCTGCCATCATAAACACTCATTCATTTAGAAAGAGCCTCACACTGAACAATGTGGGACTTACGCTCAGGTATAGGTTTGTAGTGATAGGCATTCATACTTCTCTTGCAGATGTGGCATCGTTTATCTAGGATTAGTTTCCCCAAAGTTGACCTGAGATGAGATTCAGTTTCTTGTCCAATTTAGTCCAAAATAGTGTTGAAGGACAAGAAGATTGGGACTGATACACAAATATGTTTGCTGAGTAGAAATATCAGTTGTAAAGGAAAAACACTACCTGTGGGAAAAAAGGAGGGAGAGGTATTGATGTTCGCTATAGCAGATGTTTTGAAAATAGGTTCATGGAAAAAATATACAGTACTTACATGATCCATTCTTCATTCCTGAAGAACAAAAGCTCTCTGCATTTCTAGAAAAAAAAAGATGATGATTTTGATCCGAGCTACTCCCTAGTGACTTACAACCTCTGTTACTGCTGACGGTCCACCTGGAGTGAGACAGGTCGGCTCAGAAGTGATTTAAGGACTGGCTTCTAGTTGAACTCCATAGCAATTATAATAACCCAGAGTACGAAACCAAGCCCTGACACATAATGAAGTAAACCCATAGTGGGATATCGCACCGCACAGACTCACAAGCGCAGACACAGAGTACTTTCTGAAATTGTGAATTGCTTAAGGAATGGGACTAATGTGGAAGGCACAGCTGTTTAAGCGGACCATCTGCCATCTATCAAACCAAGATACCATTCTCAGTTAATCAACAGAATATAGCAATCTGAACTATAATGAGTACATAAGACATATACTCCATGATACAACCCTCATATATCAGAATAGTAAAGGTATTTTATGGTGTGCACCAGTTGTACACAAAGTATGTTATACTGTTAAAGATGTGAATGTATTGCATGTAAAACTAATGAAGTCCTATGTGTAAAATTCCTATTGGGTAGGAATCTGTTTGAAATAATAACATTATGTAAATCTTTGGAAATACATCTGAAACATCTGGGGTTGGACATATCCTAATTTGCCTCTTTTGGCAGCTTTCACCAGTGACGACCTCACAGATGATATTGTTCGTGCTAAGAGAATTGTGCATGATCCCAATAAGATGGGTGCCGGGTGAGTCAATCTCTCCTTAACGTCTTTCCACTTGCAGCATTCAGTAGCAACTGAACTTATTGTTATGAATTTCCTCTTAATTGTGCATATGAAACCATTGAACACTAAACCCCGTCTGCGGTCAATTGTTTCTTGACTTCATCTTAAGTTCTCCACCTTTCTGTATTACTAGAGCTTGAAAGGCTAACCATTCCTCTTTGCCTGCTGTTTCTTTTCTATAAAATGCTTCCTGTGCAGGGACCAGTAAAGGTATTTTCAGAAACCAGAAAACTCAAATAAACGTTTGCCCCCCCCCCCCCAGAGAGTAACGTCTATGGGACGGGGGTCCAAAAACTCCAGATGGCGGCAGCAAGCACACAAGGAAAGCCCTGTTCCTTTTTCACATGCACTGCATGCGAGACGCACAGAAAAAGGGTTAGATCTTCAGTTACCAGGTGCAGCCCCCACTTTTACATTTTTGCACCTCCCAGGCAGATTCTCTTGCCCTCAGGATCTCTCAGCAGCCTAAGAACGCCCTTCTCACCCATTTTGGTTGTGTTTTGCTTCCTGCAAATTTCAAAATAACAGTTAAAACTTTGCTTTTCTGTTTGTGATTCACTAGTTCAGCCCCCACCCCCTTATTCCGCATTCATTCACTTTATTTTTCTTCCTCTGTTTTTTCCTTTTTTCCCCCCTCAGCAGTCTCTGCTTGGTCAATCCATAATTACCTCAGGTTGGGGAATTATTGCTACATACTTTGTTTTTTCGCCAGAGGAGCCAGTTTCACAAGCCGTGACTATAAAATCCACTAGCCATCATAGGGAAGCCATCATCCTCCAGGGAGCTGCAGCGATGAAGGCATTAGTGCTCACCCTCCTCTTCCTCCTCCTTGCAGCCAGCGAGGCCAAAGTATTTATCAGATGTGAACTGGCTTCACTTCTCAAACGGCATGGACTGGATGGATATCATGGCTACAGCTTGGGCAACTGTGAGTTCACTCTCTTTCTCTCCACCTGAGCAATGTCCAGGTTTGCAAGGGGTGTGCAAAATGGGCCCCTTCTTTTCAAGGAAGAGTTCAGCCCACCCCCCCAATGAATAAAAAGCTCTTTTCAGTTTTCTTAGAATGAGAAGATGTGCTTTCTTCCCATCCCAAAGGACTGAGGAGACCTCATGATTCCCCTTGCACTAGCACTCTTACTTTAATGAGGGCTATCAATATCCACGCTTTTGCCTGTTTGGGGCAAGAGCAGAACTGCAGTACAATTAGGCCTCTTTTGCCTCTGTATTGTCTTTTTACAACCACTGGCTCAGCCAATAGTTTATTTGGTTTTTTTTAAGAAAACGGGGTTATCTTAAGGATAAGCATCCTCTGAGAGGGAAGTTCCTTCGAATCCCCTCAAATAGTGTCAGTTTGGAACAGAGTTGAAGGGGCCATCCCAGATGATTTTCCACATGTGCAGCAGTGCAAAAGACCCACAATGGAAAAGTACCTCCTCCCTGGAACGCCAGGATTAGGGAAGGAGAAGAAAGGAGAAGTGGCGTCATGTGCCCATAAGAACCCCAGGAATACCTTTGAGACAAGAATCAGACTTACTCCAAATTCCCCTGAAGTTTCCAAAATGTATCGGACTTCTTGGTCCTTCCTTGGTTGGGGGATGAATGAGAAGATCGTTAAACGTTCTGTTACAGATGTTGGTATTAAAAAACTCAGGGTAGCACTTTGATTTACAGCAGAGGCCTTTTCCAGTCCTTTCTCTGTTTGCTTTCTTCCAGGGCTCTGTATGGCTTATCACGAGAGCAGGTACAACACCAAATCTGTGGGGTAGCCAAACTCGGATGGCAGCCACGACTATGGGATTTTCCAGATAAACAGCCGCTGGTGGTGCAACAATAAACAGGGCCGTACAGCTAATGGCTGCAAGAAGCTTTGCAGCGGTAAGCCACGTATTGTAGATAAAGGAATCAAGAGTTAGGAGAACAGCTAAGATAAAATTGATGAGAAAGTCATGACAACTCAGTCCTGGGAAAGGAGGAGCATCAGAAAGAGACTGAAAATACTGTAAGTCCACCTTGATTCTGTCTGCTATAAGAGGTGGGAGAGAGAAGCTTTGACAAGCTTTCCAAGTTTTTTTGTTATTATTATGTTCTACGACAGTGAAGTAGCATTCCAGTAATCCTTGCAGTGTCCATTTCCTGACCTGACCTACTTCCAAGGGCTGACATCTATTTCATTAGAAAAGAAAAGAAAAAAGTGAAATGCCCCAAATAAGTCAGATGATTCTTTTGAAGGGACGTTCAATTGCACCCAACTCTTCATGACTTGATGGACATCGATTCACCAGCACAGACTGTCAGAATTGTTTCTTTGAGTTCTTCTGAGTTCCTGCTTGTCTCATCAGTGAAAGTATCTAGCCACCATGTTTTCTTTTGGCCTCTTATCCTTCCTCAATCTGTTCCCCCATTTAGTGCCCCATTTCCCAACTTGTCACAACTCCTCTAACTTCCTTGACATAGAAATATCTCATCTTGTGCCCCCAAACCACCCACCACCGTACTGTCTCTGTTCTAATGAGCACAAGGCAGGGCCACATTTGGAGATGTCTCCCTCTCCCACCCACATCAACAGTCTCACAATCTCCCATACCTATCTGTAGCACCTGCAATCTGTAGCTTGCTTGGCAGACCCGCCTGATCCTATCTTCAGTGAAATTAGTCAATACCTTGCCAGAGGCACAAGTTATGGGAATCAATTCCAATGCTGGAAATCCTAGCTAAATAACCTGATCCAGTAGTTTCTGCCTTGTGTCAGAGAAATCTGGTTCTTGGACTCAAGTGAGACAGTTCTGCCTCTCTCTCCTTCCCAATATTGCGATAAGACTACAGGGAAGTCATGCATATCCAGCACACTCAGCTCCAAACGGGAAACCAATTCCCAGTGCTCTACATTTTTCAGACCTGTCACTCTGCATGGTTAGAGCAAGAGAAAAGGCATTTCATGGTGTGCATCAGCTGTACAAAAAGTAGGTTATGCTATTAAAGATGTTAATGTATTGTATACAAAACTGATGAAGTCCTAGGACTAAAGCTCCTATTGGGTAGGAATCTGTCTGAAATAATATTATGCAAATCTTTGGAAATACATTTGAAACATCTGGGGTTGGACATATTCTAATTTGCCTCTTTTGGCAGCTTTCACCAATGATGACATCACAGATGATATTGCTTGTGCTAAGAGAATTGTGCGTGATCCCAATAAGATGGGTGCCTGGTGAGTCAATCTCCCATTAACATCTTTCCACTTGTAACATTCAGTAGCAACTGAACTTATTGTTGTCATCATCTGAGTTAATTAACTGTCTGTAGACTATTGTACAACCTTTAGCATTGGTGGTAAAATGCAATTTCTGAATATGGCAAGTTGTCTTTTTATTGCTACACTTTCATTCTGGTTGCTTTAGAATAGGGTTTAACAGTCCTTTAAACCCTGGTTTAAAAGTTGACTGACACAAACCTTATGGAGGGTGGGGTGTGATGCTGATTGTAGCTGGAGAATTCCTTGACATTCATTTCACATTCATTATCCACTTTTGTGCTTGTCAGATGTTTTTAGATCTTTTTGGACACAGGTTCAGCACTGGGGCTTACCACAGAGTCGGGACAGGTAGCAGAAGAATTTGGCAGATGGCTTTTTAAACAGCAGGACTCCGGTCCCGTGGATGAGCTCCACAGGAACGGAGACCTGGTAGGGAAAGAAGAGAAGCTGGGAGAGACAACTCTCAAGCCTCCAATCCTGGGATGAAGAGGAAAGGGGTCTGCAGCAGCAGATCATTAGATGGGAAACCCTTAAGCTGGCAATGAGCTTCCAAAAGGAAACAATACAGATCTTATGTGGTCAACACTCAGAATGATTTAAAAGTTTCTTTGCTGTGTGCCCTTCTGATGCATTCTAAGATTTTGAGTAGGATTTCGTGCGCCCTCTGGTGCTCACCAAATACTTTGCACTTTAACTCCCTTCAGCCCTGGATAGCATGGACTCTGGCAAGGTTATTTGAGAGTCCAAAGTATCTATTGGGCCTCAGTTGCATGTAAGCTTCATTGTGAGAAATAGAAAGTCAGGACTATCTTAGCTAAAACAATTATTTTTCCTTTGGGTTTAATCTGGAATTCATTGGAAAACTAGCACAGGAATTTTATCAGTCAATGAAAATGAAAGATGAATGATCGTTGTCACTAGCTGACCTGAGAACTTCCTGAATGTCTTGAAGTAGACCTACATGAAGCATCTGAAGACAGACAATATTCTTATTCTTACTTTTAGGGTTGCCTGGAGAAATAACTGCAGAGGAAAAGATCTGTCAAAGTGGACTCGTGGCTGCAAGCTCTGAGATTCATGATCCTGCATTTCTCTTCATCTTCCTGTGATGAAAATGATACTATTCCTTGTATAATCAATGTTTAATAACTGGATTCTATGCTTGTATGCCATGTGTTGGTAAGAATGGGTTTCTCTGCATACAAATGATGCTTTTATAAAGAGTTCTGGATAGAAAAGAAGGAAAGTGTTTTTTGGTTTGAAACGTCTTCAAAAAATGCTCGGCCAGACAATTTCTAGGTTAACCTCCAATTATATGAAGACTTTGCCTTTGCTCTGCACTATAAGAAAAACTGATGCCTGAATTTGGACTTTGATGGCCGTCTTACTCCCATCCATTTAGCTGGCAAATAACAGTGTCCAAACAAGAGGGCAACATCAGCAGATTAATGTATTTCAAGGATCCAGCATAAGGATGATTCCGTTTTTAATCTGGGCTGGAACTAGATATCTCTTAAATTCCAAAAGGCAGGTGTGTGCCCATAGCCCCATGCAGCCCCGTTTTGTTCCCAAAGACCTCCAAGACCATGCCACAGAAATTCAGGAGCACCGGTAGCTCTTCGCAGGGATTGGTAAATCAGAGAGGCAGCCTATGGCTTCAGGGGCGGGAGGTATACAGAAAGAATGCAAGCGATACATATATGGTGAAAAACTAGAACAAATCCATGTACCTTGGTAGAATATTTACTAAAGATGAGAAATCAGAGGGAGAAATTTTAGCTGATAGAAAGATAGTCAGTAGGATGTAGTCCGCTGAGAGGTCTGTACATTTGTTGAAATAAGCCGAAAGGTTTGTATGTAAGAATGTATTTCTGTTGGCTTTATTACATGGAACTGAAGGATGGAGGCATATAAAATTAATCTGAATGCAGCAGGGATGGTATTCTTAAGTGTATCTGTGTTACCCGTTTGATGGTGTGATAAGATCAACAATGGGTGGGTGATAGAAGGAATGTGGATTGAATGCACCAGGGAGTGACCAGTACAAAGTGGCCTGGGGTGATTTGGTCATACAGAGACAATGAATGAAGATCAAACCGCAAAATAAATTTATGAAAGAAGTGTCCTTGTACAGGGATCTTGCAGAGGCAAGCAACTCAGTTACAATTGCTATAGATATGAGCTCAGTCCTGAGATCTTGCAAGGTAATGTCAGGACTTTAGATCCAGTAACTCCAAACCCACTTCCACTTACCAACTGCACATTAAAAACATTCTGAGAGGTGTACTGGCCAAAAGGAAAAAACATTTTGTGGTGGCATTTCATTTCTTTCTTTATTTATTTGGCTTTGAGCCAATGTTGACTCCTGGTGACTGTCAGGACAATCCCTGCACTTTTCTTGGCAAGATTTTGGAAGTGGTTTCCTCTTGCCTGCTTCCTGGGGCTGAGATAGAGAGACTGGCCCAAGGTCACCCACCTGGCTTTGTGCCTAAGGCGGGACTCGAACTCCTGGTCTTCCAGTTTTTAGCCTGGTGCCTCAACCACTACACCACACTGGAGCTCTTTGGTTCTGCTTACATTATAACAAAATAGAACGATTAGTTGGTTTGGGGGACAACACCTGGAGTCACAGTCTCCTAAAGCACCCCTATCTGCCACCACACTGTTTCTGCAGTGGTCGATTGCACCAGGGAGATGTCACTTCTTTGCTTTCCATGATCCTGCTGTAGCATGTCTCTAGAACATGCCAAGAAAGGAAGAGGATGACTTCAGAAGGCCTGATGTTGAACACAGCCTGCCTGTGGTCCCTTTCTCCCAGTGCTGCAAGGTAAGCTGTAGTCCCCAGGGCCACAGAAATGTGGCAGGCAGCCCAAATCAGCATCTCCTATTGCATTCAAAGGCTGTGGAACCACTCCCAGCATTTGGAGGGGAGGCAATGCCCTCACATTCACATAGCAATCCATTACCTCCAACTCCCTCTCTGATGGTATGAGAATCACACTGTCAGAGGAAGGAGGCAGCTGACTGCCTTGAGCTGTGGGCTATGAATTCCCGAGCTCTGGATGTGTCCCTCTCCAGAGACAGATGGCGATGAAGGAACTTGCCTTATTCTGCTTCGTCTTCTTTGCAGTTGAGGCAAGGATGTTTTCTAAATGTGAGTTGTCTGACCAATTGAAGCACCTTGAAACGGACAGCTCCAAAAGGTATCAGTATAAGTTTTGTTTGAGGTTGACGCAGAGTATCCTTTCCACTCCAACATTTAACTTAGGGCCAATGTGACCATGCGTGTGCAGGGGGTGGGAGAGTGGAGCGATCGAGTTCTTTCATGTTCCCACTTTTGGATGTAATGTGTGCTAGTTGACAGTGGGAGGGTTTCCTTTTGCTAAGTCGGGTTCCTGATGTTCAGAAGTAACTTTTTTTCAAAGAAAGTGACATATTCTGGAAACAGACTAATAGCCAAAAGACCAACAATTTTATCCTAAATAAGCAGTAGAAAGTTCAAAACATGAGAGGGGAATTCTTAGACATGTAGGAATGTTTAGATACAATTAGGGGTAGGGTTTGTTTAGATGGCCATCTCCAGTAATTGGAGCAAATGGGAAGGGTATAAACCTACTAATTAAATACTATGTAGGAGTCTCTCCTTGATAGGAATCATTGCATTTTGAATCCCCAAAGGTCAAGAATGCTTACTAGCATCATTCTGATGGTAGTTCAACTGGAACAACTACAACTGCTACTACTAGTATCACTGCTTCCTACTACAATGCTTTGGAACAGAACATTTTGGAAACCGAAGACTTTCTAAACTCCTGATTGTTATACTACATTCCCTTAGTGAGTGCATTCTTCCTGCCATGGCTTTTGGTAAGCAGAAGTTCTGTGAACTTCAGTCAGCCTCTAAAGTTGGACCTGGATTGTTTTCAATTCAGTTGTTTCAGTGCCTTTCATACATTTACTGGATGATGACATTACTGATGATTTCTGCTGCCTCAAGAAAGCTGCTGCGGAGCATGGGATGAATTATTGGTAAGCGAGATCAGCTTTTATAAATGAGTGGCTGAGAATATTAACCACGTTGACGTAAGAACCTTTTTTGTAGAACTTTCTTTGAGAAAGGTCGATGGGAGAAAAGGAGCCGTAGACCAAGCTCACTGGCTTGGTCCTTAAAAGAGGAACACTCTTTTGTGCATCCAGCCCCAGTCATGCTACGTAGACCTGCTAAGGGCACTGGATGCTGTACTGGTCCTGATGAATGCATCATACTTATTTCAGTGGAGATGTTC